TCTCCTACAGAAACTTATTTTCTCTTTATGTTAGTGAACATATAATTGGGTGAAAAATAACTACATAAACATATCTGTGACATGCAAGTATGTAAACTTATGTGTGCTATAAAATAAAACCATTCTTAAGTGCATAAAATAAAAATCACCCTAACACGACCCAGGGTGGGCGATAAAAGTAAAATAGTCACAAATGGATGGAGCGCTCACCTCTTTCCACCAGACACTGTGCAGGTAAGAGAGCGGAAGAGGTGCACGACGCCTCTTTATACCCGGCTACCAACAAAGATATCAACACGGGTATTAGGCCTTGGAGTGGAGCTAGCCAATGGTTCCAATGGTGGGAGAACTGACAGTCCACCCACATTACCAGCATAGGCGGAAGACCACCTACCTATCCCGGTTACATTCTGTGTACATATTACATCATGGTTACATTCTGTGTACATATTACATCATGGTTACATTCTGTGTACATATTACATCCCGGTTACATTCACCCCCCAAGAATTTCACGAAATTGTGGGATGTACCAAAGAGTAACAAAGAAGAGCAACATACACATTTGGCATCTCTAAAAGTCCACCAACGTATTCACACCGGAGAGAAACCGTTTTGGTGTGAACAGTGTGAGAAAACTTTCACAAATTCAACTGGACTAAAAGTCCATCATCGTATTCACACTGGAGAAGCCGCACAGCTGTGACCAGTGTGGGTCAGCTTTTACACATTTGGGGAGTCTGAGAAACCATCAACGTATTCACTGGAGAGAAGCCGTACAGCTGTGACTAGGGTTGTCAAAAGTATCGATACTCAGATAAGTATCGATTCTGGAATTTCTGAACGGTACCAATTCTAATTTCCCCGAAGTATCGATACTACCGGTACTCGCTCTCTCAGTTTCACTTTCACTTCTCTCCAAAGGCGCGTTCACAAATGCCGCACGTAACCACAGTGCCTGTTTCGTCTCATTTCCCTCTGTAAAGTGAAGCGAGAAAGATGTCGAGTGCGGTGCCCCCGCGACCGTCTTTAGTTGATAAGCAACACAGCAGGAGCGCTATTTGGAATTATTTTGCATACGAAGCAAATGACGACGGAAAGCAGAAGGACACGAGCAAGCCACCATGTAAAAGTTGCTACAGAGCATTGCTGACAAAAGGCGCTAACACATCCAATTTAGCAAAGCTTCTGAAAGACAGACACCCGGATCTATACAAAGAATTTCGAGAGGTTGGTAACTGTTTTCATTTTAACATTAGGGAATCAATAACCAAGATGGCCTGTTGTTGCTGATATGAGTGTTGTCTCGTGAGTTGTCACAAACGCAGCGCACCAGGTGA